TCCTCGGTTGTATCGAATGGATTAAGGAATTGAAACAGTGCATTGTGATTTATGGTGATGTGGCTCATGACGGATTTATGCGCAACAATAGTCCCAATCTCCTCCATCCATCATGAGGAGGGAACTGTTGGTTTGATTGAAGCAATGCCCTTCCCTGAGGGTCACAATTTTAAGTACTAAGAGGTGAATTGTAGATGGTGGATGAGGATGGAAAGGGAGACACGCACCTAATTTAGCACATGAAATGAAAAAGACATCCACTTGTCCTCGTGCAAATGTGAGATTGGAGATTCTCTGAAGGCGTTGTGAACCCGAGGTGGCACCTTTTTGATTGCCGTAGAGAGTGATGTAGGCGTTTGCTGTTGTTCCAGCAGTCTCCTCGTCGCCTGTTTCAATGCTTATCCTATAAGTCACTGTTGGAGCCGTGGTTGCATCAAAAGAGTCTACACAAGGGAAAGAAAACTAGACACAAAGAGAGAGAGAGAGAGAGACCAGACAATCAAGGTACTCAGAGCAACGCCTAATGACTTTAACCCCACATCTGAATGTCGAGGACAGGCAAGGTGATTTGACCTGCTCCTGACCCACTGGCACATCCTTCGAGATTGAATGCTCGAGTCCAACTTCTTTTGAGCACAAAAGTTTTCGAAATAAAAAAAGGAAGAAGAAGTGAATTACCTTTCACAGTATCAATCTTCTTCTTTGGTGGTTGGGTGATACGCAACTCAGCAGGTCGGGCAGCAACACAATTTCGACGATCGACTTCAGGTGTGGCCATAATCCACTGATTGATGTTGAAGAGGTACGTTTCACCATCTCGACCATCGGACACTAAAATACTCCTACAATTCCACTGATTTTGCCTATTCAATTGAAGATTGACGTATTTTGGCTCCTCGTCCTCCTCGTCCAAGGTGAGATTGGGATCGACTAGTCCCACGTAGATTTGTTGCAGTGCTCCCAAACTCTCGCATGTCATTCTACAGGTGCCAAAACAGACGCAATTTGCATCTTTTCACACCAAAGACGGTTACGATGCTAAACTAAATTGAGGCGGCTTGAGAGCGGCTTACAAAATCATGCTGTTTTGCTGTTGTCAGTAAACTGCAACTTTCCTAATTTCGAAGTAATGATGACAGTTCAGTGACAACTAGCCAATCCCATTTATTTGATATG